AATATTTAATTCTCGAGTCCCATCTTTCTCTTCTCCAGTTCAAGCAGCAGCCTGCTCTACTCACTTTCAGATTTCAGCATCCACTGCTGCAAGAAAAAGTGCAAAATTCAACTCTTAGTTGAGCTGGTATGCATCATCATTGGTGTTCCTGTCACCTGAATTTCAGGTTTTTCCATATCCCAACACCCAAGTGACCCAACTCAGGATAATCAGACTTCAACTTTCATCTGAGCAGCACCCCCGTGAGTCAGGCATTTTGACCCAGAGCAATCTCATTGAGCTGTTCGCTCATATTAGAGTTTTCCTCTATATCCCACTTTAGTTCACAGCCTCAAAGATATAGTATCCCTGGCACTTTCTTTGATTAGCATCCTCCACACAAGCTCTGCCCACGCCTCTGTGAGCTTTAACACGATCACCTGCTTAGTGGAATCAAAACAAATGATCGTGACAGGCCAGCAAATTGTTGATGTCACATGGTCAGGAAATCTCAATTATCTCGAAAGGTCTATTTTTAACTGCCAGTGTGCATATGTGGATGTGCTGGATGGCTTTGGTTGTCAGCTTGATCGGGTTTTATTCCAACAAGAAAATGGATTCTGGCTTACAGCAACATTTCAAGCAACAACCTTACGACTTGTTCATGTCAACACTGGTATTACATTTGACTTCAGGAAGCTGTTGAATTAATTTTTCGGGGATAATCTCCAAAGGTGCAGATGACAGAAAGGAGTTACTGTCTTCCCTCAGATGGAGACATTTGTTGGGGCTGGTAAGACATCGTGGATATCTTAAACTCAGAGGAAATTCTGGCTGGCAGGTGTTATATCAGATCTTGTGCTGCAGTTTTCACCATCTTTATCCATATTCCTAGTTGTGGCATTGGCTGCACACTGTCCTTCTCCTTTGTTCTTCCTGGATTAGGGTACTCCCCTTGATCCCAAGCCTTGTCATCTCTTGTCTTTAGGGACTGCCAGATCATCCTGTTGCACCTAGAGGCCAGAGATCCCTTGCTGTCGCCAATGCTTATTCTGCCATATTTCTAAGCCTGCTGAGGAAACTTTTGGGTCTTTTAACCTTTGGCTGAACTCCTCTAGTTAGCATTTTTATTAAAATGCTACTTCTTCCACACAGTGTTGTGCTGCTGAGGCAGGAGACTCAGTGATGGTTGGTGAGACTGCATATGCATGCAATGACCACAGACCCCGTGGCATGATGGCATGTTAATCTTCCAAGAAAGGCTCAATTTTGCAGACTAGGTGAGTTCTAAGTGAGTTCAAGTTATCCTCACCGAGCATCACACTAACAGTCTCGGTTGTTTTATTCGAATGTCCACAACTAACTCAGGGAACTAAATATGGATGGTGCCGGGGTCTATAAAGAACAGGATGCTTAATTTGTTTACATTTTCTGTCATTAGCAATATGAATTTAAAGCACCGCCTGGCTGCAAGGAGATAAACAAGGGCTTAGAGTTTGTGAGGAGAAAATCAGCATAATGCTTTATATTTACGTAGAAAGTATCCCACTCCAAAGGCAACATATGGGCCTTGACACTAAGCTGAAATACTTATTTTTTTGCCACGTGTTATATTACTTTACACATAAGCCCACCAAGCCCAAAGTCTCTTCTACACACCTGTTTTTGTTTTGCTCTGTCGGTAGCACACTGGCTCATATGCGTACACTCATTGCGGGGCTTCCACTGTTGATGCGGTGAATCAAATGGCCCGCTGCTGACCCATCTGCTGGTGCCTAACACTTGAGACACGCACTTCTCCACAGTCACCGAAGACACAGAAACGGTAAAGGTTAAAAACACGCAGATAAAAGAGCACAACCCTCACACCAGCTGATATTCAAATGATGATGATGAATGACCTGGAGTGCCCTAAGAAAATCACACCGTTTTGTTAATGTAACACTGGGTTTGTGAACACAATATACAGTGATAAAACATTCAGCTAGGCATATGGTGCGTGGGACTGTGTCTGGAAGGGAAGCCGGCGAGAGAATTAGCTGAGCTTATCTGGTGACCCCGTGAATGTGAACACCCCTGGCTGTGATCTGTCCTGGCAGTGTGGGAGATCAGGTGACTGCATGGAGGGAATTAAAAGCTTCTCACTGTCACAAGATAAACAGGCGTCTCGTCATTGTCTGGAATAAACGCTGACGAACCGTCTAAGCCTCGGCTCACAGAGAGAGAGAGAGAGTCTGAGGTCTAATCTGCGATTTACATGCCAGAGATGGGAGCATTTATTAGAGCATGTTAATAGTGTCAATTAAATGCTGATCTTGCTCTGTGGCAAGTCTCCTCCAGAGCTCCAAACGATCTCATCAGCAACCATCAGCGTCATAACAACTATATGATCGTGCATATTCTGCATTCATTACAGTAACTGGATGCTGCTAGGATCCATGATTATGGTAATGACAGTGCATCACGAGTTGGCAGCGACTTGTCACTGGCATTCAGAAGCCGCAGATGTGCTCAGTCTCTGCTGCCATCTGGTGCTGAGAAGCAGTAATGCTAAAAGGGCATCTGGAGTCAGCTTTGTACTGTGAGCATAGATGATAAATATCATAAAGCATCCTTCATGCCACTCCTGATTCTGAGCCTATTATTAGACAAAGCACTGAAAATGCATAGAGATATAAAATTTTGCGTCATAATTTTCACATTTTTTACAAAAGCAGAGTTTGGCACCACTAATGTGGCTCTCTACAAAACTGGAGCACTCACAAGCGACAACGATAGTTAAAACCAGAGTGTGAAAGTGTCTCCGTTTAAAGCACTCAGTTTTAATAGTAAAGATATCAGATTTCCAATGGTCAGATAGTTTGGTAGATATGCACTTTTTCTTCATTGCAGAGAGTTAGAAGAGAGGACTGATGCCACTTTTGTATCCATCAAAAAAAAAGTTGACAGCAGATGAATGGTGTCATGTTCTTAAGAAATAGAAAAACATTCAGCGAAGACCTCAAGCAGGACCTGATCTGCTGTTCGCTGAAGTCTCATCAGAAATGCTCGTAGTGGAAGAGTGGCTGTGAAGGAGCTGTTCTTAAAATTTAAAATTACACAAGAACTGGACAGAAAATCGGTGACAACAGGTCTTGCAGAGTGATGAATACAAAATTCGAAGTCTGTATAAAGACACAGTGGAGGTTCTGTTAGGTTCAGTGCTGCATTTCATTTGTGTTGAGAATTTGATGAAATTGTAAACAACAAAAGAACCATTAGATTTTGATTCACCATGAAATAACATCTGACTGGCAACATCTTTGTTTTTCAGTACGACAATGATCCTAAACGTATTACCACTGCAGTAAAAATGTACCTGATTGAATCATGGGTTGGCCTCCCCAGAGCCCGCACCTCAACATTAGTGAAGCAATGAGGGATCATCTTGACTACATCTGCTGTTTTCTAAACATCAGGATAAATAACTGGGAGAAAAAGAGTTATGGCAAATCATACAAGAACTGTGGATAATTTGTGGCAACAGTTCTTATGGAGAGATGAATCTGAAGAATGTCAGAAGAGAGCTCCAACAGTGAGCTGCCATTTGTAAAACACGGTGGAGGCTCAGTCATGGTTTAGGGCTGCATTTCAGCCAGTGGTGTTGCAGATCTTGTCAAAATTGATGGAATTATAAATGTAAAAATGTATCATCAGATTATGGTCCACCACACAATACCATCTGCCAATCCAATAAAAGCATACCTGGATAGAAAAACACTATCTGTCATGGATTGGCCTCCTCAGAGCCCGGACATCAACATTACTGAAGCAGTGTGGTGTCGTATTAACAGAGAACAGAAGATAAGGTAGGAGCATCTAAAGATGAGCTTTGAATGTCCTTCAAGAAGCTGGAGAACTATTCCTGAAGACTACTTAAAGAAATTACAAGAAATCTGCCTGAGAGAGTTCAGGCTGTGTTAAAGAATAAAGTCGGTAACAAATAGTAACTTTCAAGCTCATTAGAAATGACAGCCTCTGTTTTTTCCTGATGCATTTCTGTGGATGTTTGCTTTGATAAATCACCCATTTCCCATTTTCCCAGCAAAATATAAAGAAATGACGGGTGGCTCAACACAAGCACAGCACTGTGTTACTTCAGCAACAACACAGCCTAAATGGTGAAATCACAACAGCTAAACTGTTCCCGTTTTAGGATGCCACTCTGACACATATTTACATTTAGCGTAATGTATTGTGAAAGTAACTTTCAGCAGTCCACTTCCTTCTGGAAAGTCACTTTTATTTATTCGGATTCATAGAAGCATTTTTAGAAAAAATACTCATTTTCAGGCCCGCAAAATCTGATTAAAATGATCTACTGTCTAGTTTAAATACTCTTGGAGAGACAGGAGTGCATGGTAACATGTTTCTCAGTCATCACCGGCAGCATACATCAAAAGCATACTTACAAACACGGTTATCAAATGATATGTTATCACAAATAAAATCATGATTGTTAACTGGCAGAGTTACCACAATGGTTAGTGCAGTTATATATTCAGTATATACATCCAATTAGAATAAATACACTACAAAACTCACTTTCAGAAGTCACAGATTGTCAGTTAAATACAGATAGGACATGAAAAGACACGCTTTCAATATTAAATGATTTTTGCACAAATGCATAAAACAGCTGTTTGTGAGCATACTGGAGACACACTGATCCACTGTGTTTGTATGAAAAGTAGAGCTTTGTTTATGCCTGAGAGTAAAATAGCGAGTGCAAGCAGTCAAAACCGGCATACAGTACATGCATTTTCAGCAACAAATGTTTGCAGGGATTAAAAATAAAAATATATTTTTAAAAAAAAGACATCCTGTTGAATCTTTGTCAGCCGAGTCCACAGTTTTAAAAGCTTGTCTCTCTCCAGTCCTCCGCGTCCAAGTCCTTTCTTCCCAGCAAACGTCTCCTGGTCCACAGGTAATGTCATAATGCATCTCTGTTACCAAGCTGGGGGCTTTCATAACCTACAGAAGCAAATGTACTGTGAGTGGTGGGAATAAAAAAATGCTAGACAGCTACATTACACTTAATTCCACAGTTAGACTGGAACACCACTCTGAATGAATGCTAATGTTGCTGCTTAGCTCAATCCGGAAATATGTAGGGCGATAAAATGTCAGTGTTGTGTTCACAGCAATGACTCTTCAACAGTCAGCGGTTCACAGCTTGTTTCTGCTGCCCCCAAGTGGCCATAAAATAAAATAAAACTGAAAGCTGCACTTCTATGGAGACAGATGGCCGTCGTTTTAGAAGGTGATATTTCAAACGTAACTTTTTAAGCTTGCATGAGTGGGTGGAGACAAAAAAAAAGCTTTGAGCTTAAAAAAAACTGGAGCTAGGCTCAGATATTATCTGCCGCATGCAAAAAGAACCTCTCGGTGTGGACAAGAAACACAAACGTGACAATGCGGCGCTTAAACTTCCAATACACCTAAACTCATCCCGACAGGTCACAGAGGATCCCGCACGCTCTTTATGACCGGCTTTTATGCTTGTGACACGTGGAGCCTTTTATCATTCTCACAGTGATGATAATTGAGTCCCCTGCAGCAACTTGCTGATATATAGTTCTGTATTACTGGGATAATTGGCAGTAGTTTTTGGAATGTCATTAGAGCTGAATTCCACTGCCCCGGGGTTTTCACATTTGGCGTCAATCTGCTCAAAGCAGGAAGAGATGATGAATCAGCTAAACCGTACTGCCAATTAGCACAATAATGGAACATGATATCAAGGAAAGAATCTGCTCCAATTAAAGGAGGAGAGATAAAAGGTCCTCGTTTGAAAAAGGGAGAAGGTCTCATCTAACAGCACACTAATCCCAAGCAGTGTCAGATCCGGCTACCAGCTGCAATGAGACATATCTGGAAAACAGCCAAATTCCATCTTTAAATTATGTTTTATGATCTCTTTCTTTGGCAATCCAATTGAAGCAAAGGAGGCTTGCATTCAATATGTAGGGTATGACTCATCTCTGTTAAGCGTGTACACGTTTAGGCTTCCGCAAATGCTAAAAACAAATTACTGAAGATTTTGGAATATGAATGAAAGATTTTATTGTTATAAAAACAAGATGGGGAGCAAAAGAAAAAAAATACATTGTGCAAAAATCTCAACACGCATGCACTTCATGCTGCTCGTCATACCGCACATATCTGCAGGAAAGAGAGACGGATACATACACCCGGTCCCAGCAGGGTAGTCCAGAGACCTGTTTCTGCACTGAGGGAAATAGGGTTTTTTCACAAGGAATCTGCGATCTGAAGACCTCTCCAGATCGTAGGGCACATCCCGTTCCATGCCTGGGAATAAATGGCATGAGACAGACACACACACACACATAGTGGGGTACAGGAACTCAGAATAAAGGATGCAGGATAAAGCAACAAGTTGATGCGCAGCCAGCACGCTCAACAGGGTTGGAAGCACATCAAATAGGAAAGTCACGCTGAGTTTGTTTGATAAAAAATAACAAAGGCGTTGCGCCATTGTTATGAATTATGAACAACAACAAAAAAAAAAACAAGACGTGCATTTGTATCTTTACGTACTAGTGCGCAGTACTACAAAATGCATGCACAACAGCGGAGCTGCAGAAACAAACACAGCACCAGACACACAGTACCTATGTCAAACGAGCTGGACTTCCTGGTCTGATGTGATGTTGCTGGAAATCCATTATGGCCTCCCTCCTCATCTGTGTTTGTTGGTTATTGTTAATTGGGAAGATCACAGCAATTATTTGCATCTTATTATGCCAATCTGCCCTTTCTATCCACATCATTAAGAACACACTGCCTGCTAGAGATCTGGCCTTTTACTTTTCGGGGTGTTTACGGTTCCTGTGACTGAAAAGCAAAAGAAGACGGCCATGCATGGAACGTAAAGATCTAGAACGTTCGTGATGGTGATGTTAAAGTTCCAGGTTTATTACTTTATTTTTAAAAAAGAAGAAAAAACAAAGAGGAGACATTTTGGACTGCTATGACTGTGCATAGATATAAAATGACATGGTTACCGTGACTGATTACAGCAGGATCTGCTGCTTCCATCCCAGGCTTGACAGACGCCGGTGGGCTCATCCTCTCGGTGCTTCCCTCACCTTCAGCGATGGGTTGACCAGGAGGTAAACACCTCTGATCATTGATTTGTTCTTCTGCTGGGGTGACGGGGGAGGTCTTGGCCTTATCTGGAGAGGTCTTGTCTCTAGAAACATCCAAGCTGGGCTGATGGAGGAGCACAAAATTTGACTATGCAACAGAAAAATATGACAACAAGATGTGCTTTCTCTTATAGTACGTACAGCGCATACAGCATATAGTTACCTTATTGGGAATGAGAGGACGCTCTCCCTCTGGCCCTCGCCCTCTCTGTTTCTCCTCGCGCTTTCTTTCACTCTGGTCTCCCTCTGCCTCCAGCCTTCCTGCTTCTTCTGGGAAAACAAAAATCAGCCGACACAAACAAAGCTCAATTTATTTCGGGATTTCTATAGTAGCCTTGCACGATTCACAGGTCAAAGTTATTCTTAGCTGTCTTCAGTTCATCCACTTCCTCTTTTCACTCTGACTTTAGGCCAGTTTCCTTCTGATTGGCTGCCCCTCACTAATGTGGGTGGTGCTGCTGCTAGTTCTCCTGAAACAACTACATCCATTCTTTGATGTCACACAGAGCAAAAAGTAACCTACAAAGAGAAAAAAGACAGCCCGTCTTTCTGAAGCCTGAAGAGGTTTTTGGCTCACGGTGTTTATTTATTCATAGACTAAACTCATTATCTGAAACTTGTCTAATATGAGCATACCCCACTATAACAGTACATATACACTATACATGACGTAAGATAAGAAAAGCAGAATAAGACCTGAAGCAGGAATATTGGCAAGCAGCACACATTTCACACGAACCTGGGAATGAGAGCCTTTGGCTGAAGGGGCTGAAAGCACAAACTGTGCAAATTAAAACCAACCAACCTGGATTGCTTTTCCATTTCTGTGTTAAGAGCTTGCTCCAGCTTTTAAGAGACAACTATTTATTTGTGCTGCTGTCCACAGCTTGCATTAAGGATTTCAATCGGACGATAAAGATGCACATCCCTGCACCCTTTCTCCGTTTTAACGCCAAACTGCTGGCTTTAACATTGATTTTATGCCATGACCACTTCTGTTACAGTGATCTCTTAATTCCCTTTGAGTCAGACTGCAGTCTACAATACTCGGAGGTTTTACTCATTAAGAAGTCTAGACTTGAGACTTAACAATGGCTCTTTCGCCACAAAAGGCCTCTATAGCTATAGCCAATCATGTCATCGTCTGCTCTCGTACTGCATCTCTCATTAAACACACTTTGACATACTCGTCTACACGGTTTTTGCAGCTTTTGTGAGTTTTCTGCTTTTTTTCTTCTTTAAAAACATGGCATCTTCTGATTGTTTTCCCTTTGAACTTTTATCCAACAAGACAGTGATCTAAAAATATATCAGGGTCAACCACATGCCACGTGTACAGTGTACAGTGAGTCTATTTTTAGAATTATCATTATTATCAGTCATTCTAATAAGAGTCACACCTGAGTCTTCATCATTTATTATTTTATCATCATATTCATACCATGTGATTATTATCATGTTGGATACTTATTCATCCAATAGGGACATTTTACAATATTATACTTTAACAGAACTTCAGTTGTTGTTTAAATTGCAATACCTAAACTCTCCTGCAGGTGTCTCTGCCTCATGACAGCCAAACTGGGCTTAGCACTCTGTGGAGGCGGCTCTGGCCTTGGCCCACCGGGGGCCACGATTCCACCTCCGCTGCTCTGCACATCATCTTCTATCTCAGTCCGCGAGTCTGTCAGGGGCACAATCCTCTCCTGCCTGGCTGTCTCCATCTGTCTGTCCGTCTGTTGTTTGGAGGACACCACGTGGCCGTTAGTTCGAGTATCTGTCGGGGCATCTGAGATGGTGACTGATCTGTCAGCATCCTGGTCTATCCCTTTGATGTCACAGTTGCTGCTGCCATCGGAGTCTTCGATTTCTGCCCCGATGCAGCTGTACACCATGCTGACCAGGTCTGTGGACTGGACGAGGACAGAAGTCATGGACACAGTTAGAACGAGTCAAATCGCTGATGATTTAATGAATAGCATAACTCATAATCTGGTGCTAACAATAGAGAAAGCAAAGGCCTTAATTAAAATGTATTCTGTTGAATTCAATTATAACAAAATTAAATTATCGTTCATTTTTTTGCAGTGGATGTCCTCAAATCCCCTTAATGATCACTAAGGATCCACGGGCTCTACTTAAGAGAGAATTGGAGTAATCCAAGCCGTCCCTCAGCACAGAGTTTAAATAGCCCTCCACACCTTAGGCAAGCTACTACAATAAGACACATAAAAAGGCTGGGAACAGCAGGTGGCTCGGACAGCACACGGCCATGCACTGTTACATGTCATGTAGAACTATAGAAAGAAGTAGCAGCTGCTCACTCATGAATTAAACTGGAAGCAGACTTGAAAAAAAAAAAGGAAATAGAAATGCATTAGCATTTAATTTAAACTTTAAAATGTTCTTTAACTATTAAACACTTTTATCAAGTCACTGTGTTTGGCAAAGCCCTGAGGAATGCAATTTCAAAAAAATTAAATGAACACTTTGAAAACACATCAGATTGCAATGGTGAGAAAAGGATATAGATGTAGCTGCAACATTGTTGTGCACCAGGGGGGACCCAGGACCCACTGCACCAGCGTAGGGTCCTCAGGCCACCCTAATAAAGTCTGTATCTGATTGTTTGGTTAGAGACATTCACACCAGTGTCCTACTTGTAGCTCTGACAGTGCTCATCCTTTTCTTCCTTGCACAAAGCAGCAGATACCTGTCCTGCTGATGGGTTAGGGACCTTCTACAGCCTTGTTCAGCTCTGCTAGAGCAACTGCCTGCCTCCTGAGATGGAGGAGACACAGCAAACTTTGTGGAAATAGCTGGACTGATGTGCCATCTTGGAAGAGTTGGACTACCTGTGCAACATCTGTAGGGTCCAGGTATCACCTCATGTTACCAGTTGTGACACTGACCCTAGCCTAGCTAAATGCAAGACTAGTGAAAAACAGCCAGAAAAGATGAGGAGGGAAAAATGTCAGTGTCCTCCACCTGTAAAAACATTCCTTGACTTGGGGGATGTGTCATTGTTGCCCCTGTTAGTTAGAGACATTAGTGAATCTACAAAAGCTCAAACAGCCAACTTTTCACAGCACTGTACCTGTCTTTGGATGAGGCAGGGGGGGCTGGCAGTTCTCATCCCATGCACCGGCATGCCCTGAGTTGGGTGAGGTGAAGGCATGCTCCCATTTGCTCCTGGGACAACGCTCTCCGGCCTCACGGCATCTTTAGGATGCTGAATCATGGAGTAGACATTCTCTGAGGCGCTGCTGGACAGAAAAAGGCAGACTTTTCAGCACTGGTCCCTCTAATTGACTTCAATCATAAACCATACACTACATTTTGGATACAATATTATTATGCTTATGAATTTACAGTAACACCATCAGTTTGAAACACTGCAGTTTTTCTGAAGCGCGACAGCTTACTTCCTACACAATGTGCTGCTGTTAAAAAACAAAAGAAATGAACGTAGAGAGCAAGCCAAGTGAACGCAGCAACAAACAATCTCTTTGATTGCTTAGCAACAATCTGCAGGTGAAAGCTTACAAAACGCAGCATACTGTATTTAAGAAACTATTTCCATCTATGACTTCCCCTCAGATGAGTCATCTTTGCTTTTATGCTTCTCTTTCAGACTCCTGTAGACTCGGCCTACAGCATATGTGTGAAATTCCTGCACCGCAGCAAGGCTGTTAACCAGCAGAGGCAAAGGCATCACCGTTTTTTTTAAAGCACACCTCTGAGCTGAAAAACAAACTGCGGCTCTCGCTGAGAAACCCTTTTGTCCGTTTCGTGCAGCTGTGTAGTTTAAGTGAACAAAGTGCGCCTATTAAGTGCTATTCTCCCCACTCAGCTGTTAATCTGTGCAAACGATTTTTCTTTTTTAAAAAAAAGTTTGCAAACTTTTTCCACCAACGCTTTCTAACTCCAGCGCCATTATGTAACAGCAGCTCAAATGCATCAAGCGCCATAAATTCAAAGCAAAGGAAAACAGCTGGGGATGGGGAAATATTTTCTCCTATTCAAATATTCATGAAGTTTTGAAGTGGCGTTAATGCCCAGCGCTGGATTAATTTAATCACCATCTCATTCTCTGGGCGTGTGCTCTTAAATGTTACTTTCCTCCACTTCTTCCACTCGGCTCCTGTGCTGCATACTCACTCCGAGTCCTGATTAGAGATGGTGGAGTTGCGGTTCTTGCGGAATCCTGAGAAAATGGACAACACACTTCGTCTTTTCTTCCTCCTCAGAGACTGGGCCTGATGCAGGGACGACAACTGACTGAAAGTGAAAAGTAGAGAAAAAAACAGAATGAGTAAACTAAAGCATTGGGTAAGAGGGTAGGCACACACAGTGAGATTAAAGCTAGATGGCATCATTTGGACTGTTTTGTTTTGTTAATGCAATCAGCCAGCAGCCAGTATTTATCAGTATTCTGTGAAAGTCATAAGTGGCAGGCTAAACCCAGAATTAACATCCGACTACATTATTTGAATGAACCGTTTGACAATAACAGGAAACATAATTAGTATGCCGAGTCCTGAACACATACTCTGGACAGAAGCAGTGTTTCTGCTGCCTAAGCACACTGCTGCTGAGCATGAAGCTTACGCTGGCATGTAACTTTAAAACACTTGCAGGGTTAACCATCATTTACATAGTGCTGTCCAGCTTTGAGATGCAAAATCATGCCGATTTTACCAAACAGTTAATGTTACTATGCTATGACATCTAAAGGAATAATGCTTAAAATAAATATAAATATAAATATGCATAAATATAAAAAATCTTACACTACACCAAAACCTTAACCCAAACTTTAATCTAAAACACATATAATTACTAATTAAAAAAAGCAGTTTTGTGTTAAATATGTTTAAAAATAGCTTGTGTAGCTTTTCAGCACTGGCCTAATACTAGAATACTTTGGTTTTTTGGGATAGTAGCACGAATAAAGTTATGTAATAATTCACACTTTATTTTACACATACAGTATATTCATAAAGTTTAAAAAATGGTTTTAATTTCTTATACAACATTAACTAGATTATGGTAAATTGATTGTGACTTGTAAACAAGGCTGTGAAATATAATAAAATAATAAATTGGCCTTATTTATTGATAGGGCTAACATGTCAGCAACTCAGCATCTATTTATCTTCAAATTTGGGACAATTCTGGCATCCATCTGCAGCTGTGTTGTGCTTGCCTTACACCACTTTAAACTTTGTTTTTGGTGTCCAGAGATTACTCAGATTTAAAGAAAATAGTTCAGCTGCTAAATATTCCACTGGTATGCAAGTGGCTATATAGACTATTTATTTCAAGGTAGTTAGTAGTGTAGGAACATGTAGTTTTTAGTTACAAATTCCTAAGTACCCCAAAAAACAGCTGAAATCCTGCAAAATTAAAAAAATAAACTTAAATATGTTCATTCTGTGCAGAGGTTAGAGGGACTGCAGAGTCAATCAGCTATCCTTAAGTTCATTCATTATTTATTATTTTCACTTAGTTCCATCTTCTTTGCCAACATTTCCTTCTGGGTTTGAGTCTTTGAGGATGCAGCTTCAGTCACTTATCCACATGGCACCACCAATATACCAACGCTGCCCAGAAAAAATGGGAACATGGGAATTTTTCCAGTGAATAGCATACTGTAATTGACTTAAATGTGCATAACTGATTTTATTCCCACTTTTGTGGGGAGTAACATTGGAATTTTAATCACCTCATATACTGACATGGTGAAAGACTTAGCAAACAGTTACTCACTGACACATTGAGCACATACTGAATATCATTAGGATTGTTCTGCAGTGACAGTTGGTAACTCTGGTAATTACTCTCCTTCAAGCACTGCACTCGGTCTCTATCAACAAAATATGTGGTTTCTTAGCTGCTAAATGTTCCACTATGTCCAGCAGCAAGTCTCCAGCTTTGTGTTTTTACTCCTTAAAACTTATCACGGGCTCACAACTGCAGAGTTCTTGCAAAGATTCAAACAGCAAATTAAAATGCACCGTTTGCATTCTTTAGACACAGCTAATGTGCTCTTCTTAACATTCAGAAATTGCCCTTCCTTCTTCTCCGTCATACTGTGTACAATGCTACAATTGTAGATGCCGATATTAAACAAAGTTGTAAATGCTGAAATATGAGTGAACATATATCTAAATGCTCACTTTCAGAATTTTTTTTTTTAACTTTTAGTGCTGTATGATATCAGTGACTTGACCGGCTCTCACACCGTCTGTTAAATCTTTTGTCAGTGAGGTAAAAAAAGTCACCAGAAAGCTGACTTAAAGGGAGGAGGAAGGAAGATACAACATCCTTTGTCATCCTTCAAACAAAGGATGACTCGAGGACTGCACCAAGACCTAAGGTGATGCAAATGTGTCCAGAAGCATGCGTTTCAACAAAAAGTACAAGGTAAAATTAAATGTGTGGTTAAGAACTGCAGGGAAAAGAAACTACAATGGAAAATGGTACATTGTACTTTATTTGCATGTTGTTTTTTGTGTGTTTGTTTTTCATTTTACTGTTTAAATGACAAACAATAGAAAACAGGTTTTACTGATACACCAGATGTAAGACACAGTTCCCTCAATGTCTCGTCTTGTGTGTCGTCCTCGGGGCTCAGTGTAGTAAAGAATTTATCACATACTTAATGACTGCACAGAGACGATTCTGGCGTCTACCTGTCAGGTAAAACTCGTTTGCTGTAGAAATCAGGCAGTCCGTCCTCCAGCATGTTGACTCCTCCATTCTCAGAGCAATGCTGCACACACACACACACACACACACACACACACACACACACACACACACACACACACACACACACACACACACACACACAGTATGACAATGATCAGTCTTGCCATGCCGACAAAGGGGATGAAAGGCTGACAAAAGTTATTATCATTTCTAATGGCTGGCTGATAAACCTGAATCTGCTGCCAACAGAAATCTGTTTGTAAAACAGCTCTTCATCATGCTGCCCTAACTCAGTTTGTACTGATTTAGGGGGGAAAAGCTTTACAAAGTCTTGAAACAAACAAGCTGCTAAGTTAGCGGCTGCCCTGTGGCCCAGGGGAGATGGCTGCGCATGATTACCATTTGAATCACAGAGACACGTGCGACAGCTTCCTATTTTAAAGAGAGCTTATTTTTGGAAGGTGCCGCTGGCAATGAAAACAAGATGAATAACAAAAGTTCACATGCAGCAGCCAAGAGATTTAAAAAAGAAAAAAACACCTCAGAAAAGCCATGTTTGGTTTACTTTCTCTCGTTTGCCTCCCTCTGTGCACTTTTGTGGAAACACATGGACTGAAGTTCATGCTGTAGTATCAGATCAAAATAGGCCAGTTAAACACACACAGTGGTGCTACAGGCGCAATAAAAACTCACTTAAAAAGAGCCCAGTGAAACTGGTCAGTATACATCCTGTGGAAGCAGCTGCTAGTCTGGAGGGGACACTGATCCCTGCCCACTGAAGCTCATAACATGGTCAAATGTCACTGCAAAGTCACAAACTCACGGATTCAGGAGGTAGGTGTCCTGCTCTGTGTCGCCGTGGTGGGCGTGGCCTGGCGTGGGTCACGTGGCGTAAGGGGGATCCATTGGTGGGGAGAGTGGACAGACACTCCCATGATGCCGAGTGGGTAAGAGGGGCAGAGTGAGGTGGAGCTGAAGGTGTCGGAGAGGAACTGGGCTCCTCGCCTAAACCTATGACAGGAAGGGAAATGGATTGTGACAGAACTTCATTTATGCAATACCACTGATAAAATCCTCTTTGATTGGAATTAAATGTATGATTAGACTAAATTTGCAATCAGCTTGTGAATTTCACATTTTTATTGCTTTTGAAATGAGAAAAAATGCTTCCTGTTAGAAGACAAATCCCACTAGTGGGGAAAAGGCTCACCCATGGTTGGGTTGGTGTCAGAAAACAATGTTATTTTATAATAATGCTTCATTCTATCTGCAGAAATATTACTATACTGATTACAGCCCAAGTGAAACAACATTATCTCTTATGTCATTCTGCCATGTTGGACATTCATTACTGTAGACGAAAAACTACTTTATTGACTAAAAAAATGAAAGCTCAAGTGACTCTTGCCCTGGTATTGGCTATCTATATAAAACAGTAATGTGCAAAAGTCTCAAGCCATACTTCATGACTCCATATTTTACTGGGAAATGGAAGTTTGTCCACCTTTATTCTTCAACACAGCCTGAACTCTGTCTCTAAACCTCTTTACATGGTCTTCAGGAAGAGTTCTCCAGGCTTCTTCAAGGACAGTGAAAGTCTTTCGTTCTGTTCTCTATCAAGATGATCCCACACTGCTTTAATAATGCTTAGGTCTGAGCTCTGGAGGCCAATCCATGACTAATAATGTTCCATTGTGTGTTTTTCTATTCAGGTATTCTTTTACTGCATTGGAGGATGGATGCATGTCAAGTCCTGTATCAGGTCTCCCAACGTCTCTATTTCTTAAAGACATGATTATTAGATACCTTTCATCTGCTGTAAATTGTTTTTTAGGCCTACCACTTTTGTGTTTTTGTCTTTTCCTTGTCAAGGTTCCTCAGGACACACAGTACACCACGCTGAGATTTGACAACTTGTGGTCTAATAGCTCTTTGAGAATCAACTTGTTGGTGCAAACATTTTATTTTTTGCATGTCAATCAATATTTTTTGTAGATCTAACAAAAAAAAGGGGAAAAATTAGGCAGTTCTTTGGGGGACTGTAACACAGTGCCATAGACGCAATTAAAACTGGGTTCTTTGCTAAGTCGTCTGTCATGTGTAGACACAACACTGGTTCATCCCTCGAATGAGGTGTCTTCTTTTGCTTGCATGATTAATAGGTCAGTGATAAGTGGCTTCACAATAAATAAATAAATGAAATTAAATCAATTCTCTGAAAATGCTTAGATACAAGGACTGGACTGAAAATGAGTGAAAAAACATGTCCAAAGAAAAACTCTGAAAGGCCTTCTGAAAGCAGAAGGAGAACTAGTACACAAAAGCTTTTACAACAAATTCTGAAACAAAATATAAAGGAATGAGTGGTGACTTCAGACTTTTGCACAGTATTGTATTTCACGATACTTTAGCACGTGACAGCAATAATTTGCGACTACAGACTGAACACTCACTCAGTCTGGTGGAGACGGGTCGAATTCTTCTAGTTCTGGAGCTCCGCTTCTTAATGGCCATGGTGTCCTTTTGTAAGAGATCATTGTACATACACAAATGCCTTCACTACATTTATAACACAATTACAACGCACAAAAAAGTTAAATGGACAAAAGTATCCCATCCTCGCTAAAATAAATGAATGAAATAAAGTAGATCAATGACATACACGTACAGTATTTCACAGAAAATCCAACTGGAGTAAAGCAAAGGCAATGAAAAGATGCAGAAACTATTTACAAAATCGAAGTGTGAAGCTCAGAACAACAGCATGTTGGAGGGTACAGGAAGTGTGGGATTTGTCTTGATTTTGAGAAGAGTCACAATAAAAATGCTCGTGTTGAAGGGGAGAAAAGATCTGAAGTTGAAAAAATGTAATTCTTGTTCAACACGATTTGTTTGTAACCAGCTCTGAGCGTCAGTATGGTGGAACGGATCAGAGTTTCAACAGCAAAACTGCACCAGTAAACAGAAGTGAATCAAGCATTGGGACACTGAATGTTTTACCTGCTTTCAAATATTTACTAGAGAAAACTTAAATTTTTAAGGCTAATGTCTCCATGTGCCATGTGTATCTGGTCAAATCATGTTATCCCATATGAAAGGCCTCCTTCTTCTTAGTTGGGATTTTTTAAATTTCTCATTCTGTGCCCAAAATGTTATAATATATTTTTAAAATAGCACTTTTTAATGTTATATATGTTTAATGTTATATATATATATATATATATATATATATCCCTGCAATCTGAGCACGCAGAAGGGCCTGGATCACAGAGGGATTCTGGATCAAAGGATGCTCACTTAAAAAGCCCGGTGATGAGGACACTGTACTGAACACAGGTTTCACAGCAATTTTAGTGAGAAGTTTAGTTTCAAATTAGACAGTGACAAACCGAACAGGCAACAAAGCAACAAACCGCAAGGAGAGCATCCATTTGAAAATTTAATGTGGATACAGTGGGTGAAATAATTATTCGATCCCCTGCTGAACACAAAGAAATTAAAAGTCTCAAATTTTTATGGTAGTTTCATGGAGAGAAACAGAATACCAAAAATCCAGAAAAAAACAATTTACACTGCATAAAAGTATTGATTTGCATGTCACTGAGTGAACTTTTATTCCCAAGATCCCACCCAGAATTCTGGCTCCCATAGACTGGCTGCGTGCCCATGCAAAACACAGATTACAATTGATTAAATCAATTACAGCCACTCCTGATCTCGACTTGTTATGTGTGTAAAGCACACCTGTCCACAGGAACAGTTTCTTCCATTCCAACCCTTCCATCACCAAGACCAAAGAGCTGTCAATGGACATTAAGGACAAGCTTGTAGACCTGCACAAGTCTGCAGTGAGCAACAAGACCATCAACAAGAAGTTTGATTAGAAGGTGACGAATGTTGGTGTGAATATTTGGAAATGTAAGAAATATAAAATGAACCTCATTCTGGAGCTCAACGTAAGATCTTGTCGAATGTATCGGCCCAAAACTACACAGGAGGAGCTTTTTAATGATATGAAGGCAGTTGGGACCACAGTCACCAGGAACACCAGTGGTAACACACTACGCTGTAATGAGTTGAAATCTTGCAGTGCCCACAAGGCCCCCCTGCTCAAGTAGGCGCATGCACAGGCCCATCTTATGTCTCCAACATTTAGATGTTCACTGGCAGAGAAGACTTGGGGGAAAGTGCTGCAGTCAGATGAAACCAAACTCTTTGAAATCAACTCAACCCGCATAGTCAGAGAAATGCAGGGTATGATCTAAAGAACACCGTCACCACAGTCAAGCACGGTGGCGGAAACATGGTTTGGGGCTGTTTATTCGCTAATGGTATAGGACTTTTCACAGCAGTGACGAACAAATGGACAGGATCATGTGCTGTAAAGTATTGGACAAGAACCTCCCTTCCTCAGACAGAACACCGAAGATGGGTTAGTGACGCATCTTCCAGCATGACAATTAGGGCTGAACGATATATCGCATTTGCGATAATATCGCGACATGATCAAGTGCAATTTTCTAACCGCAAAGGCTGCGATTATACTCTGGACATGTCCAAATTCATGGGCTGCATCCTCCTGAGGCCGCATTTGTAGACCGATTACGTCACAGCGACGTGCCGAAGGCTGTCCAAATTACTACCATATCCCAGAATTCATAGCGCGGCCCAGCCAAACTCCAGTTTCCAGCAATGGCGGCCGCTACTAAGTTTTAAAATTACTCATACTAATCTTTCTGGGTCACAAAATAAACTTTTAACATATTTTCAGGCGAGAAAGTAGTTGTGTAAACATCAAATATCTGCTCGGTTTATCAAGATATCCCATATTTGCAAAAGTGCTTCGACGTTTTCAGAGGTGTCTGCTACCCTCCGGCTAGCTCGACAGCTAGCCGAGAGCTCGAGGATTACTGATGCGGCCAAGAACGGCACAACTCCCGGCACATCATTTTCAGATCACCGCGGAGTTTCGCTGCTCGGGTTAAACGTAATATATAAGTCACTTAGACAACCTAAAAACGTTATTGTTGGGCTTTTTTCAGTGTTTTGTTTGTTCGTGAGTAAATCGGTTTGGCTGAGATTAAAGTTATTAGATTAGATAAAATAAAACTTTATTAATCCCCCGGGTGGGTTCCTCCTTGGTTTTCACACAGCTGACTAAACGTCAAACAGAAAACTTATTAAACAGAAGTATGAGACGGTCGAGAATTTACACCAGTGTCTGGTTATATTTTAGATAGCAAGAAGCAGACGGCCGAGTTTATTAAACTCCACCGAGACAGCGGTGACGCGATTAGCTAATCAGAACTAGACCGTCCAATTTCACGCCTTTAAATTTTAAAGGCGTGTTTGTGTGTGTGTTTATACAATTGCTATTATGTTTGCACTTTATGTGTAATGTTACTGACTGCAGAGATCAGTAAGATGTGTGTATTTTTTATTTATTAGTTTTATTTATTTAATATTATTTTTTAATTGAATGACTGTCTAGTAGTTCACAGATGTCGAAAAACTGAGTGTGGTAAAGCCACTGATTTTGTTTATGTATATTTCTGCAATCTGCACATTGTACTGACTTTCATTTTAATGTTTACACCAGGGTTCCTTGTCAGCACTTTATGCTCAGATGTTTGTAAGCTAAAAATAAACTATTGTGTATGTTCAAATATACTGTTGTGATTGAAGAAGTTAAATAAAAATGTCAGTCATCAATTCATGCATCACCTCATGTCATCATAACAGAGGTCTGTCTTCCAGGAAAGAACAGTTTAAAATTAATGTAATATAGTATTGGCCATACTATATGATGTATTGCTTGTCTTTGTTTAATAATACAGAAGACAAAGACCTTAAAAAATAATCGCATATCGCATCGCAATCGCAATATTGGGGCAAAAAATCGCAATTAGATTATTTTCCATAATCGTTCAGCCCTAATGACAATGAACCAAAGCATACCACCAAGCCAACAAAAGAGTGGTTAAAGAAGAAGCTCATTAAGGTCATGGAGTGGCCTGGCCATTCTCAGATCTCATCCCTTTAGAAAACCTGTTGAGGGAGCTGAAGTGTCGAGTTGCCAGGCAGCAGCCAAGAAACCTACAGGATTTAGAGTTTCTGTTAAGAGGAGTGGGATAAAATCCCTCTGAGATATGTGCAAGCCTGGTGACCAACTACAAGAAGCACCTTACCGCTATGTTTGACAACAAGGGTTTCTACCCAAGTACTAAGCCATGTTTTGCATTCAAATCATTATTTTTCTCAATGACATTAAAAATTTATTTAGAACTTTTTTGTGTTTTAATGAAACTACAAACTACCATTGAGCAAATGTACAAATTCAGCAGAGGATCTAATAAATATTTCTCCCACTTTTTTTCCGGGAGTCATGAAATTATGAGGGTGAATTAAAAAAATAAAATCACACCTTACATTTATGCAGACTCCCCCAATTTGAGGGAGTCAGAGATGGATGAGAACCTTTCACCAGATTTGGTTGATTTTTATGTGGTATGAACCCAATTTTTGGGGTTGTGGAAAACAGTAGCACATCTGGAAGAATGAATGCTTTATTAATCTTTTAAAATACAGGTCAAAGGTGGACATCTTTCCATTGTTTGCTTTGGCTCTTCTAAACCATCAAATCAAATGTAACTTTTCTTCCTCTGTCTTTTGTCTCTGAAAACTGGTTTTGTTCCTAACACTTATTTTAGGTGCAGTCAGTTAAGTATTATATCCATGCCTTGAAATCAGACATGCTTCTTTTTAAATGAAGAAGCTCATTCTTGTTAAGTGTGCACATGAGGTCAGCGTGTGTCTCTCACACTTACTATTCCCAGGTTGACACCAAAGTCCTCATCGGGGAATTCCAGAGACTCGACTATTCTGGACTGTCTGACAGTGCGTCTGCCCGTCCCGACATCGTCCCAACGCTTTGCCTGGGACACCTGCCGCAGCTGATGCAACACACACATCAAAGGCACGTATCATTGCATAGACACAAACGCTCACACTCGCGCAGTGATGACATCTGGAAATATATCCTTAAATGCTATCTGGGAGGAGAGGCATGTCTGCCCTTGTACCTGAGAAGCTCACAAACAAAGTGCTTTACCACCGTTCGTAAAACCCATGAAGAATATGAATTAAATACAATATCTTGATTATCAAAGCAGAGTAAGGCAAGATAGAGGACAAACCGGCATTGCACCAACAGAGAGAAAGGAGAATGAGATGTAACAGCAGACGTGGTGAACTGAATGCCAAGCAGAGCAGGGGAGGCCTTGTTATTACTAAGAGTCGATTTTTTTCCTGCTTTTCCGCTGGTTTCATTTTAAACAATTTAATTTTATGGAGAGGAGAGCCCGGAGGGTCTCATCATGTCCTTAACCAGCTTAAATAAAGTTGTTATCTGGCCTCTGAGCTCAATATTCTCTTTAAAGAACAAAGCTCTATACCTATATATCTTCATTGTATATGTTAATGACATGCGAACCAGGGTGTCTTCTTCAGATAACTGCACGCATTAGTATGCTACTGTTCACCTGGAATAACGAAGAAGAATTTATCCAAACTATGCTTGTACAGTTCAGAGTTTTTATTAACATGTCTGAACTAAATGTTTTCAGTTTCAATTTTAACTTCGCTGATATTTCATTATGATCTTGAGAAATTTCCTATCCTGTGCTTGTACACTGGTACGGCTGGAGGTAGGATTATTATTTTATCAACCATGTGTGCGATGTGCAATAAATATACCAGAGTTATAGCAGCACTGAAAGACAACATCCATAACAATATTAATGTTTGAAAGCATCATATGGAATATAATGAATGAATGTCCACAGCGTAGGAGGACTTTCTTAATTCGGTTAGACATCATTATGTATATATGCACATAATGGGTACTTTTCCAGGATGTATTTATTTGTTATTATAAATTTATTTTAAATGGGCTGCTATGGGAACACACGATAGAGAACATTTCACTGTTGTTCACTGGAGGTGCACAGGAGCTTTATAATTGCTTTGCATTGATAAACATATTGCAAAGTGGTGACACAAGTATTGTAGACCCTCTGCTCAATTACTCATAATCTACTGGATGATACTACAAAAGTGCTCTTATGCATAACTTGGTTATAACAAGGGGTTATTCGAGGTACGGTTGCCATCACATCAGCTCAAAGCACTCTGGCCATTTTCCTCTGAACTCTTATCAAACAGGCATTTTCGCCTAGAGAGTTGCTGCTCACTGGGTATTTTCTCTTTTTTGGACTATTCTCCATAAACCCTAGAGATGGTGATGAGGGGGAAAATCCCAGTAGATCCACAGTTTCTAAAACACCAACAAATGGGACAAGTTCAAAGTCCCTCCCTGATTCTGAAGCTTGGTTTGAACTTTAGTGGGTTATCACGACCATATCTAAGTACATAAACGCACTGAACTGGCTGATTAGACATTTGCATTAAGGTGAAGTTAAACAGGTGTAGCTAATAAAGTGTAGAGTGTACACAAGTCATAAAAAATCATTTTGGGGTAATTGGGTCATTTTATCTTTCATTTTTTGATTAAAGAGAAAAAACAAATGGATATTTGGGGATAATATAAGTGGATGTTGTTGCTTAAGGCTTGATGGAGACAAAAAGGCTTAATAGTCCAGCACATGACGTGTCCTGACGGTTATTTTACTTGAATAGAGCCAAGTTGGCAGTTTCGCCCTGTTTTCAATTTTTATGCTAATTCTACAAGATAACCATCTCCTTCCTTCAGTGACATATTTAATAGACTGCATTCCCAACACAGCAAACAATTTTCTTTATGAATATAACTTCAAATAACACAAACCTAAAGTGAAATCTGTAATGTTTTATGCATGTGTGGTAAAAAAAAAAAAAAGAAACTGAGGTGAGCTTTTCCTGTTATTTGCACAGTTCAGACAAACGCGGATCATTTTGGGTTTTTTTTCATATAGTCATATTATAAATTTAACTATATCTTAGAACAAAACAGATTCCAGCTTTACATTCAAATAACATTTTTTTCTAGAATCTACAAGAAAGCATGCAGTAAAGTGATATTACCAGTACCAGGGTTTTATGGGTGGTGTAGAGCTCTTGTAGAATCTGATCAACTATGGAGTTGGTCAGATAGGAGACCACAGACAGCTTCACTTCTCTGGGATAGAGAAAGTAATAACAGTTCAATCAGTATCTCGAAGTTCTTTGCCTCTCTAGGACTTTTTAAACCACTCTCTTTCTTACTCCAGAGCTCTGTTGATGTCCTCTGCCGCCCTCTCCATCAGGGCGTTGCGGATGGCGGAGCGAGGGATAGAAACTTGTTCAGAGATGGACGACAAAGGTGGACTCAGTCTCTCAGCTGCTGAGCAGGACATGGGGCACAACTCACGGCAAAGGGACACCATGGAGTCCACAACCACCTAGAGTAGAAGTGTCCCAAGACATGTATCATATGTCGCCTACAGCTGATGGATTAGCTATAAAAACATATTTATATGCCCAAAACTTGTATTAATAATTCATATAATCCATTTGTCTCTTCAAGATGTTCTGTTTATCAGACATTTGGGCAAAAACACAACTCAACTATCTAAACCTGCATTTTTGGCTCTTTTGTTGTTTTTTTTTAATTGATCTTAACAAATGCAAATTACAAATGCAGCGTCTAGCATAATAACAAAATTAGGCAGCATAAACAGGGATGTAAATTATGCTCAAGTAAGTTGAAATTCAATACAAAGCATGCCATATTCCTCCTCGGGGTGCGTGCTGCTTTTTATCATTTGCCTATGCTGTGCTACTGAATCCCAATGAGACCAAAATGGAACAAAAAAAATGTCCGAGTGTTCCCTCCCTGAGAATTTCTTTTGAAGTCAGCATACCTGCACTGCACACACATTCACACGGCATTAATGGGCAATTTAAATGCAACTAGTACAGCGCTCCACTACTGTTTAAAATACCAATGCATCAGCGAAGGAATGTTTCAGCGATTACAACCAAGGCCACGGTTCAAACCCACCCCCAGCCTACCTGCAGTTCTTTGTCTGCAGCCTTGGCCAGCTCTCCTGCCAGAGTGTCCAGGCGCTGTTTAACAGGTCCATCCACTGACAACACGTGGGCCAGCTCACACAGAGATGGATACAGCTGATGAACACACAACACACACACGTTCAGTGAAAGTAGCAATAATACAATGAAAAAACATCCACCTACATTAAAAACTGGTTAAAGGAAAAGCAAATACTAAAGAAAAATAACACATGGAATGAAAAGATTTGCTTTGTCACATTGGCTTTTTAATGTTAATGAACATGATGCAAAACAAAGCATTTGTATTGGGAGTTGGCTTAATCCAGAATGAGTTTTGGTTTACTTGCACATTATTTTGATATAAAAGTCAATTCTGCAGCTCAAATAACGGAAGAAACAGTGGCCTCGATTTTTCTACTGATGATTACAACAAAGAAAAATCTGCAATCTTTACTTCAGCTGGTGATATATTTGTGAACTGTCTTGCCGTGAGCTTTTCACAAACTGTTTTATTTGCCTTAGTTTTGAGATGGTTCAGTCACGTCAGATGAAAAAAGCATCCTCTTGCAACAAGGGTAAAAAAAATCTCTGGTTGCCCAGTGACTGAACAGAATTTTCTTGCTACTGAATGCACGTAGTTGTGGTGACCGACTTGTTGCTCAGAGACTGAGCGTGCACCTCGTTCTGTGAGTTACCATCGTTTAATGTCAGTTTCTGTGGACGGTAACAGATTTGCCACAAATGGCAACAGATTTAATTCCCAACTTAACCCTTTGATCACAAATTGATAGCAGACTGACTTTATCTTATTGCTGTTCCATTATAGTCTCAACGCAATGAAGTTGTTTTGAAGATGGCAACTGACTATTTCAAAGGCAGTGAGATGGCACGTTCACTGCACACAGTGGCAATAATTTTGTTTGTGCCGCAGTCTCCAGCCACTGTTTTCCTTTTTTCTGTGAGTGAAGCATTATCAGGCAACCCTTCACTTCAACTCCTCACTACGGCATCCAGAGAACAGTCTGTTTATTCAGCCTCATCTGTGGTGCTGGTGTCCACCTCTCAATTTTAAATTGCATGTAGACATTGAGGGTCTTGGGAGGGGCCGAGCTGTCACCAGCTGTTATCTTTCAGAGGGTTGTTGGTGCCATGCCCCTCCCCTATTTAAGTGCATTTTAGATCAGCACGCATCAACACTGCAAGCGGAGTGAGGTATGGGGTCTTTTCACATCCCCATTCTCTGTTTGCCGTCAATGGTCCAGGAGGAGGAGCTGGCCGCCTGGTCAGGCTCTGGACTGGTGGGCTTCCCTGCTGCTGCAGGTTCAATGCGGTCTTCTTGTCTCCACCGCAGAGTAAAGGGAACCACCTCCTGGGTCTGGGTGTGTTGGTGCCTGGACCTGGGAGTATAGAGGGTGTATGGGGAGTGTGAGAGTGTGTACAGCGTTCATTTCTGTGTCTCCATGTTGGGCGAGTGCGGAGTATTTGTATATGTGTGCATGAGGGTGGGAATGGATGCTTGTGTCTGTTTGTCTTATGTCTGTGTGTCAGGTCAGGTCTCAGACTCCACCTCTCCCAGAGCATCTCAGGCCAACCCAGTTGTGGCGGCCTATTTTCCCCCATCACATTCCCTGCTGGTGGCTGGTGTCCCCACCCGCCGATGTGTTGGTGGTTCTCTGTGACTGGGGCTGGGTGCTCGGGTGTGTACTGGCTCACTCAGGGCAGCTGCCGGGGGGCCACTGCTGGGGGCGGGGGACTCTGGTTTTTGGGCCCTTGGGCTTGGTCTGCTCTGGCACAGCTGGCTGCTGGTGGAGCCTTGTCGCTGCAGCCCCCTGTGGCTTCTACACTATGGCTGCTGAGTGACCGCCATCTGAGACCCTCCTCACCTCTTTTCTAGATGGGTGCCGTCATTGTCCCTGCGGTGGTCCTCCTGGGGCTCTCGTGCTCTGGGGGGAAGCCTCTAGATGTCTGGGGCCCAGGTCTCCTCCACGCCTGCTTCATGTCTTTGGGCGCAGGGCTGTGGCTTCCACACCCACTATTAATTCCGTTCAATTCAATTTTATTTATACAGCGCCAAATCACAACATCAGTTGCCTCTAGGTGCTTTATATTGTAAGACAGATCCTATAATGACTGCTTTGAGTGCTCAGATAGAGTAGAAAAGCTCTATATAAGAATCAGTCCATTTACCATAATAATTATTAGAATATAATAATAATTCTTAGACACTTAAATGGATAAACCTTATGAACGCAAGCGTCTTCTCACACACAAGTGTCCAAACAGGTGGCTGCAGCGACAAGGCTCCACCAGCAGCGAGCTGTGTCACAAATGCACGCTGTTGTTTTCGTTTTCCTGTTTTTTTTTCAGCAGATGATCAAGCAGATTCTTAGGGTTTCTTCTCTGTCTCCATCTCTCTCTGTCCCTCTTCTTCTTCTTTTCTCTCCCTCACCTTCTGCTAACTTTCTCCACAACTTCTCTTTCTTTCTTTTTTCTATCCCCTGGTCTACACCGTTCTGATTGTAATGACTTAAGATCAAAAAAATCCTAAAGTATAACTATGAAGTAAACCAGTATAACAAAAGCCATAAAGGTCCACTTTGGAAAATCAATATGTTGGGCATGTTGTTTAGCCTTCAGACAAAAACTCTGATTCCTACACTGCCGGACAGGACAGACAAAAAACCCCAAAAGAACTCACTGTGTCTTTTTGCCTCTCTGTAACAAACTCAGGAAATAAACAATAACCAAAACAAAAGAATTAGAAATATTGGTTTTAAAAAAACAACATGAATGATGCATCATCTTTCTAGACGCACGATTTGTGACTCGACAACCATCTTTATCAGCCGTTTGATTAGTCTGAAGCATAAATGACTTTTTAGTTCACGTCACTCGGACATAAAAGCTGCACTTATACACTCGTCAGTCACATCTGACAGAAAAATAAAACGGGTCTGCTTGCTTTAACCCTCCTGTTATGCTGCAGGTCAGATTGACCCAGAACAGAAGAGATGTCACATGTCATCTGCATCACTACAGAAAACAAAAAAATAAATAATCTAAATTATAAAAGAAAATTGTAAAATAATCAATGCCAGTGTTTCTGACACTTTTGGATGAGTAAATTTGCCCCGGGTCAAATTAACCCAGGAGCATAATTGGTGTTCCTGGAAACCAACATAGCAGGAAGGTTAAGACATAATAAGGTTTTAGAGAAGGATCTCAATATACCTTTCTTTGAGTGCCATCTCTTTCTTCTCATGCCTGCATTCATGCAACCTCTGAGCAGCTCTGGGTGTAGAATTTTAAGTGCATCCCTAACAAACACTATGAAATACAGCTCCATATAAATTGTAAAACTGTTGACAAGTGTTGTGTATAAATAAGCATGAAGAATGTACATTATGCTCGACAGTGTCCAGAACCATTTATTAAATGTTTGCGTACTGCTTTATAGTAAAAAGCAGGGAGAACGTGCTTATTTACATCTTCTTCCTTCCTGTTAAATTGTATTTGGAATGCAACAATCCATTTATCACTTACAATCCTGTTCACGCCTTTTCTTTAGAAGAAAATAGAAAGCACTGCTCCCCCCGCGTGTCTCCAGTGTATGTGTTGGTGTAGGTGTTGAAGAGTGCAGGTCTACAACTGGTGATCGGTGAAGGATATTTGTGTATTTGAAGAAGTGAGCAGCACGAAACAAACTGTGCTGCAAAGCTGTGTTTTTCATCTTGTTCTTGCTCTGTTTGCAGGGCACATACATTAAGCTCAATGCAGAACATGCTGTGTTTATTTGCTGCTGCAGCAGGATATGTGTATTGATAATCAGGTTATTAATACTTGATTGGCGTTCAGCACAAACAGACTTCTCATTTGGATTCTAGCATTCAGTTTGGTCAAGCTACACTGCAGTGCTTGCAGTTGTGGCTGTTGAGAGCTCATGTGGCTAAAGCATTGTACGGATTTATGGATGCTGGATTATAATCTCCCACACTACAGAAGTCGTTATCGATTCAAAATGGCTGCACCAGCCTAGCGTCGGTCTGTGTAAAAAAAAAACAACCCTCATAATCTTTATTCTCTATGTGTTTGTTTGGCCAGGCTGTATTTTGCTGTGCAGGCTTGGGTTATAAAAAGTGAACCCTAAAAAAGGTTTTAAAGAGCTGCATTTACAGCTGCATTAATGCACGTTTATATGGTCACAGAACATCTTACAGTTGGGTCTGACGTCGTGCTCCGGGTAATACTGTGTAATAAACATTTGCATAATTCCAGTTTTACTGGTTTTTGCAGCCCTTTCGTTTTACTTTTATTGGTGTTTTCCTGTTCAGACCATGAGCTTCAGCTCTTGTATTTTAATGCACGAACGACTATAAGGAGGCTGCTAAATATGTCTTTGCATCAGTGCACTGTGATGCAGTTAGGCTCTGTAAAGTTTCTCCAGGGAAAAGGGAATGCCTTCTTAGAAGTGGATAATCCTAAACTGCAAACTAATTGGTCACTACAGCAGTTAGGTAAATGTAGTGAAGGACAAAGTACAATATTTCCCACTACAATAAACTGAACTGGCACACATTCATTAACTAGATGCTTGGCTTTGAACAGTTCTTACCGTTGTGGGATTTTTATGATGTAAGGGGGTAAAAACCCTAATATGGTCACAGCTCACCATGAAATTTCCAGCTACCGCTTGTCCTGCCTCCATTTTTCACCTGGTGTTCAAATCTTGTGTTTGAGAGGGGCAGCCAGTTAAAAGTAAGCTGTTGCAGTGGGAGACGGCTGAGCAAAAGTGTGGATGACCTGGGAGGTCCACCAATACCCAGAACTCTGAATCATACAATGCTGCAGCACTATGTGAAAGTTTTTAATCAACTCTCATTTTTAACATTTTGTTACTTATGGAAATACATCATATAAGGTAAAAACAGACTTTGTACAATTCTAACGAGCTTTAAAGTCGATAATGAAGTGGCCACCTTTATTCTTCAACAAACCCTGAACTCTCCAAGGCAGCTGTTTTTGTAATTTCTAGTCCTCAGAAATAGTTCTCCAGGCTTACTGAAGGACATTCAAAGCTCTTCTTTGGATGTTAGCTGCCTTCTGTTCTGTTCTCTGTCAATACAATACCACACTTCAGTAGTGTTGAGGTCTGGGCTCTGGGGAACAATCCAGTGTTTTTCCATCCAGGTATGCTTTTACTGGATTGGCAGATGGTATTGTGTGGTGGACGATAACCTGACAATACATTTCTACATTTATAATTCCATCAATTTTGACAAGATCTGCAACACCACTGGCTGAAATGCAGCCCTAAACCATGACTGAGCCTACACCCTGTTTTACAAATGGCTGTAGACACTCACTGTTGGAGCTTTCTTCTGACATTCTTTGGATTCATCTCTCCATAAGAACTGTTGACAGAAATTATCAGTCCAGTTCTTGTATAATTTGCCTTAAGTCAGCCTTTTTTTCCCAGTTATCCTTCCTGAGATTTCGACTACAGCAGAAGGATCAGCTGAAGGACCAGATGCATCGCTTACGTTTTGTCAGGTCTTTGCTGGATTTTATCCCTGTTACTTTAAGACGTGACTTTCAGATGGCATTCATCTGTTGTAAATCATTCTTTACGTCTTTTACTTTTTCTAAGAACATGCACACCATGCTGGGATATGCTACGTTTCGGACGAATACGGTACTTATTTAGGGAATCACCTTGTTGGTGCAAAAAATATTAAATGTGTCATATTTGGCATTTTTCACAGACTTTACTAAAGAAATTGGAATAAATGATGTGTTCTTGTGAAAGGCTTTTAGCAACAAAATGTCTGAAGATATAGTTTAAAACATGTTTTTTGCTAAGTTGTGTGTTAAGTATAGACAGAACGATGGCTCATCCCTTGAGATAGATGTCTTTTTTATGCTTGAGTGATTCACAGGTGAGTGTTAAGTGGCTTCACCAACTATAAAGAAATGAATGCTGGTTCAAGACTCTAAAGTACATGTGGAAGAGTCAAAGATTAAAATACGTAGCCACACACACACACACACACGCACACACACACACACGCACACACACACACACTTATAACCCACTCACAGCTCTCGAGTTCCTTGCTTCTTTGAGGATCTGTCTAGCCGTCTGGACCTCCTCTCCTTCCTCGCAGCCTTTCAGGACACAAACTTGCTGCTGCACCCGTACACACAGACGCTCCATCACCTGCACACATACACATGTGCAAAAGTGGAGGCATACAATTAGACCCAAAACAGAAGTGACTTATTCCTCAGCATGAGCACAGCCACACACCTGTTCAGCAGTGCTGGTGACGAGGCCTTGGTGCAGCCTGAGAGCCTGTTTCTGAGAGAAACGCTGAGTCTGGTTGTTCCTTAGCAGGGCACGCTGGATCTGTCACACACACACACGCACACCCACACACACACACAGAAAACAAACAGGGAGGAAGAGGAGTGGTGATGACAGGTGTTTACAAAGTGCGGTGTGCGGGAGACAGGAGACGAACCCATTTGCATGGTAATAAGGAGACTAGAGAGAGAGGTTTGATCCCTAGAAAAAAAAATACGGGACGCCTTTAATCTGTTTTCTTGACTCAGCAGGTGGATGCGTTGACTGCATCATCATCTTAGCATATGTAAAGAAAGATTGAATAAAGAATTGCACAGGGACTCTGAAGGCTCACACGCATTGTCCAAG